CGCATCTGTGGTTGCGGACAGTACTAGTGAAGCTGACTATCTTAACCAAAGCCCTACTTGGAGGTTCCTGGGTAGTTATAAGTAGGGTTCTAAGTAGGCTAACTGTAGTTATGACTTATATTCAGGGACTTATACCTCCACTTATAAAAACCCATGAACCTCCAAGTATATGCCCCCATACACCCCATCCAAACCTTCGGCAAACCCCTGAATGAAGCCTTGAACCCGGCAGGGCCCCCTTCAAGGACCTGTGGGGGGTCGCTTCCCACAGCCGCCCTTACAGGGCCAACCCTTAATCCCGTAACCTGTCAACCTTACGCCCCAAACCTTAAAACCCTGAACCCTCAACCCTATTAGCCTTATAAGCCCTAAGCCCCCAAAACCCTAAACTCTAATTCCTCAACCCTAAACCCTATTTCTTATAAGCCCTAAGCCCCCAAAACCCTAAAAACCCTAAGCCCAGATTCTCCACAGCTTGCTGCGCCGAGCGGAGCGGCTGCCACGATGGCAAGGGTGGATCAGGAGCCCTGAGATTCCGGCTTTTAGGGGTTTAGGGTTTAGGCGTTTAGGGTTGAGGAGTTTAGGGGCTTAGAGTCGATAGAGTTTAGGGGTCGATAGAGTTTAGGGTTTCGGGTTTAGGTTAGGGTTTAGGAGTTTAGGAGTTTGGGGTTCAGGGTCTACCATAATCCTATAAAGCCCTGCCTTTTTAGGGGTTCCTTATGACGATTTCTTGTTTACATAAGTCCTTAAGTAGGCTGTAGGGTTCAGGCTTCAGGGTTTAGGCTTGACGGTTTATGCTTGAGGGTTTAGACTTTAGCTAGGCTCTGGGGTGTAAGGTTTAAGGTACTGCGCAAATGCATTGCATAAGTTTCTGCTCACCACCAGCTTGATGGTCATAGCATCGCCTAGCTTCAATCCCCAACCTTAACCCTAAGGGTGCGTGTACCCCAATAGTAAATACTTTGTCCTTAAAAGTAGTCCCCATATAGGTACTTTGGGCCCAAAGTATATACTATTTGGGCACATTGATCCTTAGGGTAAATGATGTGTAGTTTGTTTGTCCTTTCTGCTTTTGTCTTCGAAGCAGCCCGATAGGCCATCGACCTCGTGCAGTGGAAGAAAGGGGTCAAAAAAACATGTAACAAAGCCTACACCTAAGCCGTGTAGGCCCTACAGTATGCCCACTGTGGGCCCTGCAGTAAGCCCAACCTTTCTCGCGTTGAAGTTTGTGGAGGACGTGAATGCCGGTGCTGAAGCCATGGACGCGAGAATAGACAACTTCATGCGATCCTGTGTCGTCCAGTGATTCCGTTTCTGAAACTGAAGCCGAGTTATATAAGTTCAACTTATTTTAAACCAGATCCAAACCATAAGCCCCAAACATCCCCATGCCATAGTCTGAGTTAAGCCCAAGACACACAAACTCGACTTCCTTAAGCCTAAACCGTAAATCCTACACCCGAATCCCATAACTACAGGGGTATTTAGCGTAAACAGGTGCAGTACTAATTGGGGACCCAAAGAGAGACCCTAATTTAGAGATTCATCCATATAACGTAGACCCTGGAATTTCTGGAATCTCTATAGGACCCCGGAAAATGTAGAGATCGGCGTGTACAGACCGCTGAACGCAACCGGGGCAGAGAAAATGGTGTTGAAACTACGGCTCAAAGGACTCATGTTAGAAGGATTGTGGGCCCAAAGACAGGACAGGGTTGGGGTATTGAGAGGGCTGTAGACACCTATGCTGCGCAATGCCAGTTCTTTATTCAATGGAAGAAGGCAGCACATAAATAGGAACTGCAAAGGAGGCTAAACCGTAAACCCGTAAACCCTAAACTCTAAACCGTGGCTAAACCCCCATACCTAACACCGGGTTTTTGGAGCCCAGAGTAAACTGTCATAGTTTCCGATGCCGCAGACTGCCGCAATAGTAGCCCAGACCTTCAAAAATCATTCTTTGAGGCATATTATACCCTAAGTCATACTGGGGATCCGACTGTACTTTAAAGGTATATTCCCTATTAAGGGACTTTGGAAGGTTTTGGAGCTTCGAAGGCACTGGTTTGAAAGGCTGCTTGCCGAACACGTGGTACTAGTAACTGCCCGTACACCCCATACTAGTTCCTTTTTGGAATACCTAATAGGATCCTCTGTATAAGCCACGAAAAGGAACCACTATGGGGCCTATGGGTGGTCCATGCTTGCACAATAAAATCTTCAGGTCGGGCTGGCGTGATTCTTAAATCCTGAGGGGCTGAGTCAGTAACCTTTAGCCTTTTGGGGCTTATAGAATCCTACTATAATTGAAAAGGTTAACCTTTGTTGGGCTTGGGTACTCAGCCCCTAAGAATCTGCAGTGTTCATCGGATCATGCATGCATGCTTCACTAGCTACTGACGTTTGCCGGCCATGTTTACAGGCTGCCCTGCGCTGTAGGTCGTTCCCAAAAAGGCATGGCAGCCAGGGGCAGCAGGGACCTAGAGACCTCGTCAGGGCGTTGTAGGTTCAGTCTAATATGTAAACCCTGAACCCTAAACCGTAAGCCCCTACAGAAACTGTTACACTTTTAAGGGAGGTCTCACGCTTGGACTCCTGAGGTTAAGGGTTCAAGGTTCCGGTGGTTGCACAAGAACTCGCGTTTACAGATACGTTACGGCTTAAGTTAGAGTATATAGGCCCCATAGCAGTTCCTCTTTGGGATTACCTAATAGAACCCTAAACCCTAAACCCTAAACCCTAAACGTAAGCCACAAAAGGAACTACTCTGGGGCCTATGGGTATGGCTCACTTTTACAGTGTTTATGGCACTTGTTCTGTTGGTGGCGCCGGGGGGGGGGGGTTTAGAGTTTAGGGTTTATATTGGGTTTAGGGTTTAGGGTTTATATTGGGTTTAGGGTTTAGGGTTTTTATTGAGTTTAGGTTTTAGGGCTTAAGGTTTATATTGGGTTTAGGGATAGACTCGACATGTGGCTAGCCTCTGGGCGCGTCGGCAGCGGCACTTGTTTTGGATGCTGTCCGGCTACATCTCCGCAGCTGCTCGGTACTGCACCGGAGATCCAAACTGCTTCCCTAAGCCACAACCCCAAACTATCCTTAACCTACCAAAACCTACTAGTTTGTAGGTCCCTATAAATTCCCTCTTAGGGTTTATAATAAGAACCTACAAAAAAGTAGGTTTTGGTCGGTTAAGGCTAAACTCTAAACCCTGTAAGCCATTGTTCTTGCCTCACCTTGTGGGTTTTGTTGCCACGGCTCCGATCCTCTTCTGATAAGGGTGCAGGGATTATTAAACCCCTAAAGCCTAAACCCTAAACCTTTCAAAACCCTAACTAACATAATATTTCTGTTTTGGATTCGAAGCCGGCGCAAGTTAAGAAGGCTTGGATGGTTGCTCCGAGAGTTTTACGGTTAGGGTTTGGGTGTTTCAAGGTTCCAGTACTGCATATTACCTGTGTAATATAGGGGCCTAATAACTGCCCATACCCCTGCTGTAGAGAGAAGAACACATGCAAGCATACACACCAAACCCCTTGTGCTAAGTATGAAGGCACTCCAACAAGGCGGGGGGTGTATACTATCCAGAGGATCGAGGGACTAGTAAGCACAGGAATTAAGGTGTTTTTAAAGCTTGCTTACTAAGTACTCCGACACCTCAAGTACAGAGTTCTGCGTTGTGATCCCCGTTTTCATTAGCATTTCTTGCTCAGGACCCTAAACCCAGGCAGCCGCATACAAGAACTTGTACATTTATATGTATATATACACACATAAACATAGAAGCATATATATATATATATATATATATACATATGTATATATACACATATCTATGTATCTACATGTATGTGTACACATATATATATATATATATATGTGTATTCATTCATCTATTTATTCACTTATGATTTGTTAATTGGTTTATGTCTTTGGTTATTTGTTTGTTTATGTATTTGTTTATTTATTTGCTTTTATTTATATTGTCGTTCGAAACCGAGGCGTTTGGTCCCATGCGGTGCCAAGCAACTGCAGCGAGGAGCAGGATCTCTTGTTGGGGGTTTAGGGTTAGCCTATACCCATAGGCCCCATAGTAGTTCCTTTTTGGGATTACCTAATAGGATCCTAAATATAAGCCACACAAAGGAACTACCATGTGGCCTATGGGTAGGGTTCAGGGTTTTGGATGCAGACAGGATTTTCGGCTTCAGTGTTTCGGGTTTAGGTTTGTGGGCGTCGGATTGGTTTGAAGGGTTGGAAAGTTTGAGCACGGTGGTGGCTGGCGGCGCAGACAGACGTAACAAAGGTCGGCTGGCCCTCACCTGAAGGAACAGGCCGGGACCCAGTCAATAGTCGTAAGCACCCATGTACCCACATAGTATATACTTCGCCTTAAAGTAGTCCCCATATGGGGGTTTCTGAAAATAGGGGACCCTAATATAGTACCCTCAAAGTCGGATCCTTCTTATAAGGACTCCAAAATAAGGTACCCCAATTTTCGGAAACTCCCATATAGGCACTTTGGGACCCAAGTATATCCTATTTGGGTGCATGGACCCTCGGAGTAGGTACTTCCCAAGTCGACCGATCTCCTCCCAAACCCGAACTCCGCGGTGAAGGGTCTACGTTTTGGGGTTTAGGGTTTACGGGTTTAGGGTTTAGGGTCTACGTTTTGCGGCCAGGTCCTTGCACAAAGTTATAAAAGCATAACTATTTAACACAAATTAAGTGAAGCTGAGGGTTCCTCATTATACTTGCAGTGCATTATCGTATAATGTACCCAGAAACCTTATTTTGCTTATGAAGACTATAAGGCCATGCATCCTTGATGGGACCGAGGCATCAAAGGGGCGGCGCATGACTTCCCGAAAGCCTCCTTCAGGCCAACACTTACCGAATTGAAGTTCGCTTAGGGTATAGGGTTTCGGGTTCAGGGTTTTCAAGGCCTGAACTCCGAAAGAGGAGCTTTGATTGCTGGCTTCGTTGGCATCACCGGGCGTTGCATGATCGAGCCGGGCCATCCTCCTAGGCCGCCCTTGCTGAGATATTGGAGAGCAGGGTTTGGGGCCGCCACTATCACTACCCCTGCCGCTGACACCACCACCAAGACTACTCTTACTGCTACTACTACTACTACTACTACTTCTTCTTCTTCTACTACTACTACTACGACTCCTTCTCCTGCTGCTGCTGCTGCTACTACTACTTCTACTACTACTACTACTACTACTACTACTCCTGCTGCTGCTGTTGCTACTAGTACTTCTACTACTAGTACTTCTACTACTACTGCTACAGCTGCTGCTGCTGCTGCTGCTCCTACACTGCTACACTGCTACACTGCTACTCTGGTACACTGCCACTGCCACTGCTCCTGCTACTGCTACCACTGCTGCGACTACGACAATGATGATTAATGCTACCAGTCTCTGTTACTTGCTGATACCGACACCAACGACATCCACCACTATGGCAAATGCTTGCCATTGACCCACCATCATCAAGGACCCGACTCGGCAGCTTCAGCAGCACCAGCACCAGCAACGCCGCCCACTAGCACCGGCATCACCACCGCATACCACCGCCACCACTTCCGCAACTGCGACAAGAGACTACCGATAACAACGACGACGACGGTTTTTGACTGCTGACACGTACAACAGTTACGAAGATGGCCTGAACGTTTTTTGCAGTCCGACATTTAAATTTGATGGTTGCGAGCCTGCGGCCGAAGGTCCTGCGCACGTGGCGCAGAGAAGACGGCTGCGTGGCGGAGTATGGCATTGCAGTCAGAGCTTCAGAAGCATGGGACGCTGGACAGCAAGTCTCCATGTTTTTGTGGACAACATGAAGTGGGACGTTGTTTTTTTTGACGTCTTTGGCTCAAACTCATTGTTTATGCTTCGTTGAGATCAGAGCAACCACGCAGACAACATATCCTTTGAAACGTTTACTGTATCGGCTAAAAGGCTTTCTTCCCCAGGCTCTTGTCTTCGTGTTATTCCTACAAAGGCTCCCGTACGAAAGGATTATTTGAAGCATCCTCTCAGCGTCCTTTAAGGGTTCTACAGCGGTTCCTGCAAGGTTTAAGGATCCCACAACAGCAACACTGGCCACATGCCCCACAGAGCCCACAAGTGACGCGAGTCGTTCGGACAGCCGGCCTCCATCCTGTGTTATGTTGGGAAGGGCCGGTAGTTTCTTGGCCTTCCCCTGAGGGTCCATGTACGCAAATAGTATATACTTTGGCCTTAATGTAGTCCCTATATAGGTGCTTTGGGGGCAATGTATCTCCTATTAGGGTACATGGACCCTTGGGGTTCAACTCCCGAACGGGCAACGTCCTGAAACAAAGCAGCCATCCTGAAAGTATACGAAGAGTTCTTACACGTGTTTGGAGGTCCATGGGTAGTTGTAAGTAGGGTTATAGGTAGGCTAACTATAGTTATAACCTATATTCGGGGACTTATAACTCCATTTATAACCCTAAACCCTAAACCCTAAACCCTAAACTACCCATGAACCTCCACGTGGCCCATGCGCAACCGGATTGCACCTTTCGCCTGGCCGACAGGGATCCAGACAGGGAAGAGAGTATTTCTGTGGACATGCAAGTGTTAATGGGTCTAGACTTTAGGGTTTAGGGTTTAGGGTTTAGGGGTTTAGGGTTTAGGGGTTTAGGGTATAGGGTTTAAGCCCTACAAGTTTCACTCTCCTTCACACAGCCCCTTTGTCCTGACTGAGGGAAGCTCTCTACAACCCAGACAACTATGCCCACTCCCCAGGATCAGTTTCGAGGAATTGGACCGACCTCCGCACGACCCTCTGCTGCTGGGTTTTTGTTACGGAACTTTGTTTTAGTGACCAGAATGTGCAAAGCAGGTTGTTTGCTGGTTACTTTAGTCCTGCACGCCTTTATTAAATGTAACCCAAATCAGGTTTCTTGAGACAAGAGTCCAGGCTATATCCCGCCATCCGCTGCTGCCGGGCCTTCATTTGCCCTAATAGCGACAAGGCCTTCGGCTAAGGACTTGTGGAGGATGTCTTCCATCGTTTGCTTCAGAGTTTGAGGTCTATACGTCCTAAACCCTAAACCCTAATCCCTAAACCCTAAACCCTAATCCCTAAACCCCTAAACCCCTAAACCCCTAAACCCTAAACCCTAGTCTAAGTCTCGGGCCAGAGTCTGGGTTTGCCATTTCGCTTTCAAGGGCGCCCACCGTGCATTTGTCTACATATGTTTCGTTGACACCGTCGTCGCTCCACAAACCTCGTGAGCCGTCGTGCTAGCGCTTGTGGTGGCTACTTCGCGGCCGTGGTGGTGTCGGTTTTTTGCTATTCAATTTTCGAAAGGCATCATGGTTGCTGCTGCTGCTGCTGCCTTTTGCTCTCTCACGGTGCTGATGTTGGGTGCTGTTGGTGGTGGCGCCTATGACCCCCCCAAAGCCCCTGCCATGTAAATTCCTTGACGAAGTTTAGAAGAACTTCAGTAACATCGTATGGCCCAGGCCAAGAGATTCATTACCGCCCTGACCCACGAAGCTTCAAGCACCATGCTGTGTAAATCCGTGAGAGATGACTAAAAGGATGACTGAATTAATTGATGGTTCAATGATATGAGTTTAGGTGAAATGAATTTAAATGAAACGAATTCAAAGGAAAAGAGTCGAAATGAAATGGAACGGAATGAAATGGAATGGAATGGAATGGAAGGAAGGAATGCATACATGAATGCATGACAGCATGACTGATTAATGAGCGAGCGAAAGAAGTGATTCATGAGTTGCCTGATGATTCAACCTAGTATCATGGTTGTTGTATGTTTCCTATTACCATCCAAGCGATGTTTACTGCAAGTCTCGTTATCATTATGAGAGTTTAGTGGTTTAATCTCCACGTCCGAACCTTTGAACCCCACGTCATGCAAACCTCCATCCCATCTCAACTCATCGTTATCAACAACTATCGGCGCTCGCGTCCTCCAGCCTGTACACCCTGACCCTCCCCGCCACACCTATAACCTAAACCCCTACATAAACCCCTATAAACCCTAAACCCTAAATCCAAACTCCAAGCTTTCAAGCCATGCAGACCCCTAGGCCCTAGGCACCATAAAGCCCAGAACCTTGACGACAGAAACCAGACCACGAAGCCGAAGCCCTAAATTGGCCCTACCTTAACCCTATAAAGCCTTCCTGTTTAGGGTTCCTTATGATGATGTCTTTGTATAAGTCCTGAAAAAGGGTCGGTTCTTTGGGGTCCAGGTATACCCTAAACCCTAAA